GTTTATCATGTTTAGATATGTTCCTTTTATTCCTGTTCTCTCCAAGATCTTTATCATGAAGGGATATTGGATTTTCTCAAAGGCCTTTTCAGCATCTAGTGAGATTATCATGTGGTTTTTCTTTTTCAGTTTGTTTATATGGTGTATTACATTGATGGATTTTCGTATGTTAAACCATCCTTGCATCCCTGGGATGAAGCCTACTTGATCATGGTAGATGATTTTTCTGATGTGTTCTTGGATTCGATTCACCAATATTTTCTTGAGTATTTTTGCATCGATATTCATGAGGGATATTGGTCTGTAGTTCTCTTTCTTAGTTATATCTTTGTGTGGCTTTGGTATCAAAGTGATTACAGCCTTGTAAAAAGAGTTTGGCAATGACCCTTCTGCTTCTATTCTGTGGAACCTTCCCACTTCCCCACATACCCAGATCTATACTGTAGGGGAAGCTGTAGCCACGCCTACTTAGGGGCTGGCTACAGGTGTGTCTGACCACACCCTCACAAGCTTGCAAGGGCGTGGTCAGGGGACATAGGGTGACTGCATTTTCGCTTTCGGTTTCTCTTTGGGGCTTGCATACAGACTACTGCCACGCCGGCTGGCTAGGTCGCTCTGTAAGTAAGGCTTTTCCCTATTAAATACCCTTATATTTCTACCTGACTCCATATCTTTCTCTCTCTCATTAGGCTATAAAGAGGCATCCAGAAAAATAAAAAAAATAATAAAATTATAATTGTACCTTTGAGTACCATGAACACTGGTCAGTAGGGATGACAGTTTTATGTAGGCATCAGTTTGACTGCTCCATGTTTAATGATTTGTGTAGCTGTTGTCTTCAGCAATAGGCCTAATCATCAGTTTGTGGAGAGCAACCAATAGTCTTGGAAATGGCCTGGGTTGTTTGGGAGTTCCCATGAGGCCCCTTTGGTCATGAATTAGATTGGATGTAACCCATTCCTGGAACTGGTGGCTTCATTTGGTGACAAGAGATTTTCAGTTGGGGTACCATCTCTCCCATTATTTGGCCATTCCATTTAGATCACCTTCATATGTGTTTTAGGAAGCTTCTGCTGTATTAGGATTCCATATGACCCCTCAAATGGTCCTTAGATTTTGCTGGTCCTCACCATATTATTCTCTCACTGACCTTCCTCCTCCTTCCTGTTTGGTCCCATAGTTCCAGTGACCAACCCACCCCAAGGTAACCCAGCCCTTCCCTCATCCCTGACACACCAGCTCCTAACACTATACTTAACCTCTGAAGTTACATAGATTGCAGTCTGTTTATAGATTTAACAACTAACATCCACATACAAGTGAGTATATACCATATTGTCATTTGGGGGCTGGGTTGCCTTACTCAAGACGATGTTTTTTTCCCCATTCTATCTACTTACCTAAGGATTTCATTTTTAACAGCTGAGTAATATTCTATTGTATAAATGTACCACATTTTCTTTTTCAATTCTTCCATTAATGGACATCTAGGCTATTTCTAATATCTGGCTCTTATGAATAGAGCAGAAATAAACATGGTTGAGCAAGTGTCTCTGTAGTAAGATGTAGAATCCTTTGTATTTTATTCCAAAGAGTAGTATAGCTCAGCCTTGAGGTAGATCAATTTCCTTTTTCCCGGGGAACCGCCACACTGATTTCCACAATGGGTGGACAAGTTTGCACTCCCACCAGCAATGTATGTTCCTTATACCACACCTTGCCATCACTACCTGCCATTTTTTATTGATCTTGGACATTCTGACTGGTGTAAGATAAAATCTCAAAGTGATTTTGATTTTCATTTCCCATCGACTAAGGAGTTGAACATTTATTTAAATACTTCTCAGACATTTGTGTTTTATTTCTTCTATAGCCATTCAACTCTTGGGGGTGGTGCAACCCACCTTCAGGTTAGGTCTTCCCTTCTCAATAAAATCTCTCTGGAAATTCCCTTACAGATAGGCTTATGGTTATTTCCCCTGGGTTATCTACATTTAATCAAGCTGAAAAATGAATATTAACCATGCCAGGAAGCATGCTAAGGAAGTAATATCCTTAGGTCAAAGAGCTTTCGTCACTCCTGTGCTCCCTGAAGCTCTGTCAGAGAAGCCCATGCAAGTATGCCGGTGTTCATCAACAGAACAATGACAAAAATGTGAGACAAACACACAGTGCAAAATTGTAATCTTTTAAGTGAGTAAAGTGCTATCATTTGTGAAAACACAGAAGGAGCAGTTTGATAAACCTCCCTCAAACAGAACAGCTTGGTATTTTTTCTTCTATATAAATATTCCATGCTAAACACTGAATGCATTTGTATGTTGGACATCTCTGCTGTTGCAAATCATTTACTAATTATCTTGCTTCCTATTTCTGTAGTAATTAAAGTTGTGACAAGGAAGGGAGGTTTTTTATAATTGTCTTCCCTTCGTTCTGATGGTGAATTGGATTTGAGTCCACAAATATAGTTATGGCATTTAATATTTAAAGGGAAGATACACTTTTATGGTGACCTTCTTTGAATTTTGAATTATGACCTTTTTTATTAAAAAGGAAGATTGTACATTTCTCCCAAAAATGTTACAGTAAGTGAAGATATTTTCCTGGTCCAAAATAAAATTCTATGAAACACAATAACAAATTTATTAAATTATAAAATGAGAAAGAAAACATATTCCTGAAAATTATTATTATTTGACCAGTAATCCCTGTTGGGAGCTGCAGAGTACCGCGCCTACAAGATGGTGCCAGTTTCTGCCTTCCGCCAGCCCGACGGCGAGTGCTCTCTGTGATAAACAACTCCTAATTTGGTAAAGGCCACGTATCCTCTTAATTCTGCTTGGAGACAACCTGTCCTGGCGCACCACGTGGGGTTAGGTGATTGGTAGTTGTAGACTATTTATCAGGCCCTGTCTTCTTCTACCTGGGGCCACTCCCTGTAAATCAAATTTCCCGAGTAAAACTATGAGAGGAAGATTCCTCGGTGTTGCATCGTTCTTGCTGGTCAAGGGTGGTCGCGACAGATGCCCCTTGATATAATCATGTCCCAACACATTTTTTATGAAGACAGGAAGATTTGTTTCTATCTCTGCATGTATGTTGCAGTGGGAAATCATTCAGCTTCGGGTTTGCCCTGCCAAAGCCTGGCAGACACCAGGGATAACAAATTAGCAGGTATGACCATGATATTTAAAGATATTAATGGAGTTTGGATGCATTTCCTGACTCCTGTTATCTTTTATGGCTTAACTTGTCCTGGATGAGACATAATTCTAAAGCAAGACTTTCCACAAACCTTTTATTCTCATCAAGCATAAAGAAGCACTGTCTGTCCATACTTTGCTCACAGAAAATACTTGGTATTTTTGCCTCTTGGGAAAAAACATTATTTAAGTAAACACTAGGAAAGCTTATTTCTTCAGGGACATTAAATCCTGCTGGGATTCTAAGCCAGTGATCTCAAAATGCTAATATTTTTAAATATTCTGAATATATTTGAGTTTCATATTCTCAAGATTTTATGGCTGTGTGGAGTATTTAAGGAATTGCAGGCCTGATACTGAATATATTTCAGTATATTCCTAATAAATGTGAATTTTAGCAATGCAACCATACTGAATAGTATCAATAAATAAAGGTTTGGCATCAGTGAAGGTTATGTATACAACTAAGATTGCTTCAACTATTTCATGATTTAAAATCTTTGCTGCCAACAAAATACTTAGGGATGGAACTAGATATGAAATATGTCCATCAGAAGGCATTGTCTGGTTCTGCAGACATATAAATTTTAAATGTGTCATGCCCTTCCAGGTAATTATTTTGTTTGACCAGTAGTCTTGAATTCTTTATCTAATGGGAAAGCAAGTGTGATTAGTGGTATTTCCTTGACATAAGCATTCCCATAGTTCAAACTTACATTGAGAATTAATGACCAAAACAATAGACCCAGTAGTTCTTAAGCATTGCCTGTTTTATATATGCTATCACTATTAAATGGTTTGGCTTGAGCTCTCAGTAACAGATGAAACCATTATATTCATAGATTCTCTTAAGGACAGGGCACTTACAGGTAATGTAAGGCTCCAGCAACCCTTTATGTAAAGCAAAGAAGATCAGGAGTCAGGTGCTATGGGTCTTCTAGGAATCAGCATAGTTGTTTCAGCTCTTGAAGACATTGGATACTCCATCTGAAGTCATTCTTATACCTCTCTACCTATATGACTCAGATATCTACATACTCTGGTTTCATTCCATCTTTCTGCAATCTGCTGCTCTCTTCTTGCTAATCAGAGCACACTATCTGACTTACCCAATTCTAAATGGTGCCCAAAAGCATCTTCTACCCACCTGAGCTACAAAGCAGCTGACTCTCTCTGGGTGCATTAGCTGTAACACCATAGAAAAAAACAGCAGATAAGCTATATTTTGGAGTCAAAATCTGGGGTTAACTTTTACTGAGTTGTGGATTTCTCATGCATACTAGCTGGCATATAGTGATAATGGAAACCACCAGGAAAGGATGGATGTTGATGGCAAAGCTGAGTGGTAGCCTTGTACTAGTGTTCAAAGGAACCCAAATTATTTAATTCACTGTGTTTGAGCTATACCAATCACCTTGATCTTTATCACCCTGGTTAATTATTTTTGTTATCAGTACCCCAAATTCGATTAGTTCTATAATTAATTAAAAGTCAAATGTAGATTAGTTGGTATTAGGTAAAACAAACATGTATACCTCTCACTAATGTAAAATTATGTTTTTGAAAACTTACACAAACTTTAATGTAATGAACTTTCTCTAATCATAGATGTAATGAACAAATTGAACAAAGATGAAGGAAATTAAGGTTTTAGTTAATGAAAACTTTAATCCTTTCTTTCTCAATATTTAAATTAATACTGTAATAATTTCATTGTACCTCAAAATGATATACAGTAAAAAAAATCCTGGATAATATATTGAGAATGTGTATCCATGATATTCTATTTGTTTTCAGATTAATTTTTTGAAGACTGAAGTGGAAAGAAAGAGCAAAATGATCCGTGACTTACAGAATGAGGTAATTTTCATGTTGTAAAAAATTGTACATTAATCAAAGATTACACAAAAATGCACATAGACATTTACCAGAAGTTTGGAGAATTTTAATGCTGAATTGAGCTTCAGCAAAACAATAATGAAGAAAAGTGATGGTAAGAGTTAATGTCTCCCAGCTGCAATGAGCTTAGGAAATAGAAGGAATTTCACTTCAATTATTTTTATTTTTCAAGGTAATTGGAAACTACCTCTAGGTTTGAATATTAAATATGATTTTTAATTTGTCATTATCTATATGCAGAGAAACCCCTGTTAAAGATTATCATCTGACGTTTCCAACTGTCCTAAAATGATAAGAAATGATACATGTAGATACTTAGGGGTTTTGGTGTTTGTTTGTTTTGTTTTTTATTTACTTTTTTCTCCATTTTTATTAGAATTAGAAACAAGATTGTTTTATATGTCAATCACAGTTCCCTCTCCCTCCCCTCTTTCCGTCCCCCCAACTAATACCCTACCTATCCCATACCCTTTCTTCTCCCCAGGGCGAGTGAGGCCTTCCAGGTCCATACTTAGTTTTTAAACAAGCAGGTGTATGTTTCTTAACAGGAGTCTATGAATGAAGCAAACAACGAAAGAAATAAATGCCAATGAACACAGTTGTAGAGAAAACTGTAGTAAATTAAAAAGAAAACCCATTTCAGCTCAACTCTGTAAATATGTGGCTGTAAATCTCTCTAAGGTAATCATTCTACCTCCTTACCTCAGTGAACACGGTGTTATGGAGGAGATATGGTATTTCATAATGTAATGGAGTGCTTCAGGTCACTATTCCTAATGGATTCCCATACTGCCCATAGATGAATAGGGAGTATGTTTTCTCTCACATACACTCTGAGCCCAAGATGCTCTTGGGATATTTTAGTAATATTTCCTCACCATGTTCTAACTTTATTTCTGTGACTTTCCCTTCTTGGGATGACTTTTGACCATGCCAGTATTATGCATAACTTTGTACCTAGCATTTAAAGCATACTATAAATCATCCACATATATCCTTAGGACTACTGGGGAAAGTACTAATGACCAAACACCTCAGCATAGCAGAACTTAGCTGCCGCAAAGAGCTGTAAGCAACGTGTCAAAAAGAAAATCAGTGAAGTTCAGGTCTACCTGAAGGTTTGGAACATTATCCCTCCTTGCTGCCTTGGGGTAGCATCACTTTCCGACAGGGGAGTACTATTCCAGTTCCTGCTTGTGTGTTCGTGGGGATCCTGCTTGTGTCTAAGGTCATTATATACCATATCCTTCCCATATGAAAATCCATTACTGACCTTTAGTTCCCACTGTTGTGCTGTGGTTACATGGGTAAAAAATCCTAGTTCTAAACCATTTCACATTCCGAGTTTCCAAGTAGATGTGAGTACAGTATTGGAAGTCTTCAAACCATTGTACTAGTTTTGATATTTTGGTGGATTGGAAAAGTATCTTAAGAACTTATACTAGATAGGATTAGAAATACTATTGAATGTAAGTCTGTTGTCTTTGGAAAGGTTAAGGAATTCGAACTTAGGGATAATCACCAAACACAGAAAATAATGCTTTGTTTTTTGTGGGTAAAATGGTTTCTAATTACTAATTCATGTGAAGTTAGTGGTTAATTTTGATGTTTCGTTGTTGCTGGGTGCAATTTCAAGAAAGCTAACCAGCAAATAATGCATTTTACTCTCTGAATCAAGGCTGGAAGTATCCGTTGTAAAGTCAATGTGATTGAAATAGCCAAAGTGTAATACATAGAAAAATAAATATGAAAACTGACTGTATCATATACAATTATAGAAAAGAACTTTCTATTCATTAATGGTATAGTATTTTGACTTGGCATTTCAGAGGTAAGGCTCTGTCATTGTAAGGCTTTCTCATTCTCTCAGGGCAGTTTACACTCTGCCTTAGACACCCCTTTATTTCATGTTGTGAGCAACTGATTCTACTATGCAAATTATTACTGAAAATATTGGTGTGATACTTATATTTGTGGATTCTTATAATCTCTCATACTGGAAGTTCATCTGTGCTCACAGCCATAGCTGCACCATTTTTCTTATCTGATGGAGGATTGTGCATATAATTCTTCATAAAAGAGGAAATGTGAATTCTTGGTTTTGTATCATTTGTTAGTCACTTTACTATTCATATACTTTGAACTGTTGGCCTTTTAGAACATGTGAAAGCAATACATGTTAGGCACTTGGAACTTGTTAAGATCCCAAAAAAGTAAGCAATTACAATCATGTTTGTTAGATTTTGAGGTAATTAACTCACCAATCCCGATGCTATGCTCAAGTATTTTCTTATTAATGGTTAAGCAATCAAAATTCTATAAAAATGTATTAACAGACACCATCCATATCACCATGAGTCTTTCCACACAGCAAAGAAAATTCCCAGCCATCCAATTCACATGCCCCCATCATAGCAGCAGGGACTAATGAGAATCTTCTTGGCTTGTTCTAACAGAAATCTCCAGAGAAAATTCTAAATTACTGACATGCCTACAGCAATCCTTACAGCCAGGGAAATGGGTAGTTTAGTTAGTCATGTCTTATTCACAGTTCTGTCCTCAGGTTGTGTAGAGTTCATTCAACTTAAACCAAGTAGATTTCCCTTGAGAAATGAGGGTTCACTACAGAAGATACCAGAACAATAAAAGAAAATATATCTTGGAAAACACTGACACTTCTATTACCTCCTGACTTCCAAACTCTTTCCTATGGTAAACTTCAGACCATGCAGGATAAATCATAGTTTAATAACTTGTGATACCCAAGTCAAGAATACATTGAAGAACTGTGTCTTTGTTAGCACTGCTCTCTTCTCTAGACTTCCTCCTCATCCTAAATATGTTAGGAGTCTTACTCTTCCTGTGGTATATTTATTTCATATTCATCATCTCCACATCAATGGTGGCAGAAAACTCCTTTGATATAATGCTAAACAAATAATCCCCTCCACCTCTGTGTCTTGAGAGAGATAGAGAGCTGCTTTCATTTCAATCTTCTGTGTTTCATTACTCCTCAGCCCTTGCTTCCCATCTCGACAGCACTATGCATCCCATAACCAGCACCATCATTGTTCTATGGGCCCACATGTCTTTTGTGTCTCAGCTTGTCATGGTTTTCCCCTCTTAGCAGAATCTGACATAGTCTTTATTCAAGCACAGAGACTAAATGCAGGAGAGCTAACTTACAAATTATTAGAGATTTATGAAAAGGACATTTATGAGACATTCCATTCCAGGAAACCTAAGAAGCTAAAGGAATGCTTCTTACATGACAGGACAAATGAATGAATTCCATGTGTGAAATGCTAGAGGAAGAAGCTAAAAGATTACAAATACACCAATATCACTCAGAACACCCAAAAGGTCATTATTTCAATGCCATAAAAGAAATTTCTCTGTACTATACCTAAATAAAAATCTATGAAGCTCCCATTTAAGATCATTTGTAGCCTCATAAAATTCATGCACAACAGAAATCCTTACATGTCACTGTTTGACTCTTCATAGTAGTTAATATTTCTGGATTGGATTATGCAGCCACTGATCTACTTGTTAATTCTCATTCTACACATTTCAATAGTAAAGGGCACATTGCATAAAATCTACATATATATATATATATAGTGTCTTTATATTAACAACAAAAATGTTGATTGTTTTTTAAACTACAAAAATGAAGAAAAATTTTTCAGCAATATACCCTCCATACATTTTCTAAACCATGTTAGACATTTGATAAATGTTTGTTGAATACTAATAAATATTTCTTAACTACACTGTATTTTTCACAATGTGAGATTATAAAATTATAAGGATTATTTCCTTTCCTATATCCCATATGCATATATGTGGTACACATATGCAATACAAGTAAATACATAATAAAGTAAATATCAAATATATAGAGTAGTTCAAAATCATAAAAAAACCAACAAAGTGCATATTAATCAGTGCTACTAAAACTTAATCCTATCTTTTTATAGCAAAGAGAGACAGATCTTACATTCAGTTAGTGATGTACTTCATTGAAAATCAAAAACTATTAAAATAGAAAACAGGTAATAAAAATAAAGTATGGAAGACAGGCAAGGAGGAAACAAAGAGGGTAACATGGGGCAAAAAGTTTGATGTGGGTTGAAATTCAAAAAAGAGGATTCCTCTAAAGATTTGTGTGTGCGTGTGTGTGTGTGTGTGTGTGTGTGTGTGTGTGTGTGTGTGTTATGTGCATATGTGTGTGGTATGTGTGTCTGTGTGAGTGTGTGTGCCTCTGTCTCTGTCTCTGTCTCTCTGTCTCTCTCTGTCTCTGTCTCTGTCTCTCTTTCTCTCTCTCTCTCTCTCGCTGTGTGTGTTATGTGTATATGTGTGTGGTATGTGTGTCTGTGCGAGTGTGTGTCTCTGTCTCTGTGTCTGTCTGTCTGTCTGTCTGTCTGTCTGTCTGTTCTCTCTCTCTCTCTCTCTCTCTCTCTCTCTCTCTCTCTGTGTGTGTGTGTGTGTGTGTGTGTGTGTGTGTGTGTGTGTGTGTGTGTGTGTTGTGTATGTGATAAGCACAGGAGCTCATGGAGGCCAGAAGAAGGTTTGGGATGTCTTGGAGCTGGAGTTATTGGTAGTTACCACCCACTCATTGTGGTTTCTGGCAAAAGAATTTGGATCCTCTGCAAGCAAGACTCATCATTTATTCACCAAGCCACATCTCCAAGTCAGGAGTGAATTTTGGCAACATTAGTGACTTAATCACATTCACCTCTGAATTTACTAGTAATATAAGGAATTTAGATTTTTAAAATCCTGATGGTTCCTTATATTTCAGCTGTAAGAGTCAATATTTTTAGATATTTAACTTATAGAAACAAGAATATATAACTCAGTTGGTGATCTCTGAGTGGTAAACAGTATGAATTCTACTGAAGTAAATGACCATGGGCATAACAAGCACTTGCCCTGATTACCCTAAATGGTGTTTA